TCCCCCAAGGTGTGACAATCAAAAAGGTCTCTAGACATTGCTAAGTCCCCCCAGCTCTGCACTGAGAACTACCATTCTGGAAGGTGCCAAAATACGGTTACAATCTGAAAACCCCTCTATAAATCTCTTTAAAATCCCAGCTTAGAGCTATCTCCTCTAAGGCCCCTCACAAACATGAAGATGTCCATATGGGAACACCACGTGAATTAATGCCCCTAGTGGCAGAGTGAATATACTCTTCCAAGGGAAGTTAGGATCCTACAGGAACAACCTTTGTGAACTTTCCAGGTCAACGACGAACATTCATCAGTTGAGGCAGTTGCTACTCTGGAGAGGATAAGAAAATAGCAGAGAGTGGAAACGAGGAGGTCTGGTTCTCATCCACCCCAGCTCAGTCACTCAAGAAGTATTTATTGATATTGTGCACTCTGAGCCAGGGAGGTCAGGCTCTGGGGTCAACTCAGTGGACAAAACAAATGCAGCCCCTTTCCTTGTGGAGTTTACTAAATTCCCTCCACACTCTTCAGTCCTGTGCCTGTGGCAGACATCACCAATCAATCACAGCACTGTCCCGCTAAGCTTTCCGACTCAAGTCCCTGTTTCTGGCATCCTCTAATAAATGATTAGAACAGACACAGGACAAAAACCCACTTGCCGTTTCATTTTGGGGATTCAATGAATGGTAGCTATGAGTATCTATGTTATCTAATCCTACCTCCTCTAATATAAATAAGGAAATTTTGGCCCTAGATGAGGAGTGGCTTGCTTTAGTCACGCAGCGTTGGATCTAAGCCCAAAGTTAAGGTATTTTTACTCGTTTTCCCTTATATTCCTCACTGCTTTATGCTTCAGCAATTGGATAGCAGAATTTGGGGTTCCGCAAATTTCCTCATTATGAATTCCTGAATGTGTGTGTGTGTGTGTGTGTGTGTGCGTGTGTGTGTGCGCGCACACGTGTGCATGTCTGTCGCAGGAACAAATTAATGAATTTTATTTTTTTCAGACAGAATCTTGCTCTGTTGCCCAGGCTAGAGTGCAACGGCACAATCTCGGCTCACTGCAGCCTCTGCCTCCCAGATTCAAGCAATTCTCCTGCCTTAGCCTCTCAAGTAGCTGGCATTTCAGGTACCCACCACTGTGCCTGGCTAAATTTTGTATTTTTTATAGAGATGGGGTTTTCCCATATTGCCCAGGCTGGTCTCAAACTCCTGAGCTCAGGTGATCTGTCTGCCTTGGCCTCTCAAAGCGCTGGGATTATAGGCCTGAGCCACCACAACTGGCTTCCTTTGTTTATTTTAAAGGCTTGAAGATTAACATTGGGTTCAGCCTCAGATACCCACGGTTTTACAGCTCTTTTAACTGCTGCTCAGCTCCACCAAAACAAAAACGACTCTATTTCATTTTCAGAGGTGTCTTTTTCCCTTCTATCCTTCCTTCCTTCCTCCTTCCCTCCTTCCTTTCTTCCTTTTCTTCTTTCCCTCCCTTCCTCGCTCTCTCTCCCTACCACCTTCCTTTCTTCCTCTCTCCCTCCTTTCCTGCCTCTCTCCCTTTCTCCTTTCCTCTTTCCCCCTCTTCTTTTTTTTTTTCCTGAGATGACGTTTCACTCTTGTTGCCCAGGCTGGAGTGCAATGGCACAGTGTTGCTCCTGAGTCGCTGTGATTACAGGTATGTGGCACGATGCCTGGCTAATTTTGTATTCTTAGTAGAGATGGGACTTCACCATGTTGGTCAGGCTGTTCTTGAGCTCCTGACCTCAGGTGATCTGCATGAGCCACCATGACTGGCCCCTCTTTTCTTCCTTCCCTCCCTCTGTCCCTTTCCCTCCCTCCCTTCTTCTTTCCTTCTTCCCTTTTTTCCCCTCTTTCCCTCTCTCCCTCCCTCCCTCCTTCCTTCCTTCCTCCTCCTTCCCTTTTTCCTTTCCCCCTTTCCCATCCCTCCCTCCTTTCTCTCCCTCCCTCCCTCCTTCCTTCCTTCCTCCTCCTTCCCTTTTTCCTTTCCCCCTTTCCCATCCCTCCCTCCTTTCTCTCCCTCCCTCCCTCCTTCCTTCCTTCCTGTCCTGTCCCGCTTATTCATTCTTCCAACCAGGAAATCACAATGCCATCACTCATATGCTCCAGCAACAGGAAGTGGGTGGGAGGGCCGATGGGGGCAGGATCTAGAGAGCTGCCACTGAGGACAAGAGTAATTCCTTCTTGGGTTAACTGGGAGGTGGGGAATACCAGCTTTTACTTCCTTTAGGAGCCCGGGAGAGGCCTTCCCAACTGCCCTCTCCAGCCCCATCACCAACGAAGACCATGAGGGCCATCGTGGCTGCATTTAGTTTCCAACCTTCTGCCTCCGGACTTATATTCTTGACAGTTATATTGAGCACCATTTCCTAGCTGTTATATTGATCACTATCTTCCAGGTGTCTGCTGGCCCAAGTTTCCTGCGCGGTAGCAGTGAGAGGGAATGCAGCAGGAGTCTGCCTCCTCTAAGGCATTGCTGGAACATTCACTCATTCATCGAGCCATCGCCTGCCTCTAGAGCACCTACACATTCAAGCCACTGGCATCACAGTGAAAACAAAGCACTAGATCTAGAATGAGCAAGGCCTGGCTCTGTGACACACAAACTGTGTGGCCCTGGGTAAGTTGCCCACTCTCTGTGCCTCAGTTTCCTCTTCTGTCAAGTCAGAGTGATAACAGCACCTACTTCAATGGTTATTATGGGGATTGGATGAGTTAATGCATGAACCACACTTTGTATCATGCCTGCTAGACAAGGCAGTATTTTATTTTAGGCCCATGACTTGCTAGTTGTAGTGGAGATTGCCTTTTACCTACTTAGCATCCAGATCGCACTTCTTCCTTCCTAACAGAATTCTAGATTTGTTCAAGTAGCCCGTTCCCAGCTCCAGTAGTAGATTATTCTTAGTCTAAGCCAATCATTTTCAAAGTGTGGTCCCAAGACTAGCAGCATTGATATTGCATGGGGACTTGTCAGAAATGCTATACTTGGGCCAGGTGTGGTGGCTCACACCTGTAATCCTAGCACTTTGGGAGGGCAAGGTGTGTGGATCACAAGGTCAGGAGTTCAAGACCAGCCTACCCAAGATGGTGAAACCTTGTCTGTACTAAAAATACAAAAATTAGCTGGGCATGGTGGTACATGCCTGTAATCCCAGCTGCTCGGGAGGCTGAGTCAGAGAATTGCTTAAACCCAACAGGTGGAGGTTGCAGTGAGCCGAGATCGCGCCACTGTACTCCAGCCTGGGTGACAGAGTAAGACTCACTCTCAAAAAAAAAAAAAAAAAAAAAAAGCTACGCTTGGAGTTTCGGTTTACATGTGTCCTGTGCCTACCACGTGCCTGCTATTGTCCAAAGTGATTACACAGTGGCTCACGTCTGTTACCCCAGCACTTTGGAAGGCTGAGGTGGGAGGACTGCTTGAGGCCAGGAGTTTGAGTCTAGCCTGGGCAACATAGTGAGACCCTGTCTCTCTATAAATATAAATATTAAAAAACAATTAGCTGGGCATGGCGGGACAAGTCTTGTCCCAGCTACTTGGGAGGCTGAGGTGGGAGGATTGCTTGAGTCCAGGAGGTCAAGGCTGCAGTGAGCTATGATTGCACCTCTGCCTGGGCAACAGAGCAAGATCTTGTCTCAAAAAACAAAAACAAACCCAAAAGGAACAGTGATTTACACCTCAATTAACCCTAATTCACCTCTATTTACCCTACAGTACAGGTTCTGTTATTTTCTTCTTTATACATATTAGGAAATGGATGATCAGAGAGGTCAATTTGGCTGGGTGCGGTGGCTCACGCCTGTAATCCCAGCACTTTGGGAGGCCATGGTGGGCGGGTCACTTGAGGTCAGGAGTTCGAGACTAGCCTGGCCGACATGGTGAAACCCCGTCTCTACTAAAAATACAAAAATTAGCCAGGTGTGGTGGCAGGTGCCTGTAATCCCAGCTGCTTAGGTGGCTGAGGCAAGAGAATCACTTGAACCCAGGAGACAGAGGTTTCAGTGAGCCGAGACTGCATGATTGTACTCCATCCTGGATGACAGAGCAAGACTCTGTCTAAAAAAAAAAAAAAAGTCAATTTGCTCACCCAAGGTCATACAGCCAGGAGTGGCAAAATTGAGACTGAACCCAGGTCTTCAAGGTCCTGAGCTGTAAGGTCTCTCTTCCTTCTTGTTTGCAAAACCGTTTCATATCATGTCTGAGCTCTCCCAAAAGCTGGCTCGAAGATAAGCATCCTAGCACAGATAGTTATGTGAGCAGTGATTGCAGTAGGTGAGTGGAGAAGTGGGACAGCGAAGGGAAGGCAGATCATTCAGGGTGTCTTCATGAATGGGTTCCCACGCAGACACTGGAGCCCAGTCCTGCTGGGATTGAGAAATGGCTCTCTGGGTGCAGTGAGTGGCTCATATCTGTAATCCTAGCATTGTGGGAGGCCAAGGCAGGAGGATTGCTTGAGGCCAGGAATTTGACACCAGCCGGGGCAACATGGTGAAACCCCATTTCTACAAAAAAATACAAAAATTAGCTGAGCGTATTGGCACATGCTTATAGTCCCAGCTGCCTGGGGGGCTAAGGGGAGGATTGCTTGAGCCTCAGAGGTTGAGGCTACTGTGAGCTGAGACTGTGCCACTGCACTCCAGCAAGACCCTGTCTCAAACAACAACAAAAAAAATTGAGAAATGGCTCTCTTTAGGGCAAGGGAATCAATGGCTTTATCTACTATCCCTTGACTGCCCCAGCCAATGAGGAAATGGTTCCTGTCCTGGAGATATGAATAGACACCGATTGTCTAGATTCTGAAATGTATATGGTTGGACCCGACTCAAAATGCTTTGAAGAGTCCACAGCAGCCTTACAGCAACGTCTTCTCACAGTACTTCAATGTAATCCTCATTAGGCCTCCCAATTGCTAATGCAGAACGGGTTTGCTGCTTGTCCATGCCATCACCAAGTGAACCCCAAGGACATGCGTTTAGAAGAGGTTGCCTTACTGTTTTCCTGCCGTACTGATCTGAGATATTTCCCCAGAGCGTGGAGCTGGACATCATGCCTACAAAGACCACCTGCGGGGGAAAGACAGTTTTCATTAGACAGACGACTTGGAGCACTGCACAGAAAGGAACAACAAGTGCAAGCAGTGATGTCACACTCGAGGTAACAGCCATGATCTAACATTCACTGAGCACGTGCCAAGGTCAAACACTATTCTAATGCTTCCGGCAAGCTGCCCAACAATCCCATGGGGAGGGTGCTATTATCATTCCTGTTTTACAGATGAGGGAACTGAGACTCAGAGAGAGACAAATGCACAACCAGTGCCACACAGGTGTTAAGTGGTGCAGCCTGCACTGGAATCATGCATTCTGGCTGGGAGCTAGCTTTTGACCAGTTTCTCACCTTCCCAAAGAAACACTTGCCCTACTGCTGAGAAAAGACCAAGGGCTGCAAGGTGGAGTTTGGAGAGCAGGAAAATCAGACAGGGAGGCTGAGCTGGTGGCTGTAAACTATTAGTAAGAGAAACCACTCATTGTGTGGGAGGCAAAGCAATTGTTACATTGTTAATCCTTGGAGTAACAGCTGGTGAGGCTTGAATGATCCTACCCATTTGAGGGAATGGGGAGCTGAGGCTCAGATAGGTTAAGAAACATGCTCTGCCTCCCTGAAAGGAGAGGGTAGAAGGCAAGTCTTAAACCCAAGCAGGCAGACTGGCGCCTCATCACCATGTTCTTCCCTCTGCAAGTGCCAGACACCATGCCGAAGGCTTTATGCACACATCTTACCACAGCCTTGCAGCAGGCCTACCAGGTGGGTGCTTCTATTATACCCATTTCACAGCTAAGGCAGCTGGGGGCCAGAGAGGGGAGGGCACAGCCTCAGTTTGGTCTGACCCCAAAAGCACTTCTTGTGGCATGTCTGAGGGTGGGAAGTGGGGATGGTACACAGAAGTGTTTCAAGGTAGAAGCAGACACAGATTATGTATGTATAATTTTTTTATTTGTTTAGACAGGATCTTGCTCTGTCACCCAGGCCGAAGTGCAGTGGTGTGGTTGTGATTCATTGCAGCCTCAAACTCCTGGGCTCAAGTGATCTTCCCACCTCAGCCTCCCGAGTAGGTGAGACTACAGGTGTGCACTGCCTGGCCTGGCCAATTTTATTTTTATTTATTTATTTGAGACAGGATCTCACTTTGTTGTCCAGGTTGGTCTTGAACTCCTGGCTTCAAGCAATCCTCCCACCTCAGCCTCCCAAAGGTGCTGGAGTTACAGGCATGAGCCACTGCATCTGGTCCTGAATGGATCATTTTAAGGGAATTCATTTCCAAGTTCTCAGCTTCCCTGCAGACATTTTCAAGAACAAGTTAGGGGTCTTCTTCTCCATTTCCTGCCTGACTCCCTCTTTCTCAGCCACCCCTCCACCATGCCTCTCTAGGCCAGTCTGACCAGGGCACCTCAAAGGGCATTGCTTTTCAATGTAAACCCTTCAGGGTGCCTCAGAAGGGGAACCGATGATGCACTTACAAATCCTTTTGCAAGTCGTCTGGTTTCCAGTGCCTTTCTTATTACTTTCAACAGAACTGAAGGACAGTCTAATCAAGCTGCAGGCAAGTTAGATCATGGAACACAGTTTTTCAGAAATGGAAGCTGCGTGCTCTTCAGCACACACATTTTGGAGAGTGTTTTTAAAAATCAAGTGGCATCAGTTTTCTGGGTTCTAGCAAATCCTTCAGTTCCTCAAAACTTTTTTTCATGTGAACACAGCTTTTCACATGCATATTCATTCAGGAAAAATGACAAATAGGAACATAACTGGTGCTGAACCCTGTCTCACTTTAGCAATAATCATTCAGGAATACATAAAATATTTGGGAAACATTCCACACCATTCATTAAGGGATACATTTCCGATAAAACCTTTCTTATGTTTAACAATTATTTATCAAAATTAATTATATCTTGTTATGGTCTATTGTATACTACTAAAAATTATAATAAGTCAGTGCAGGAGAAAAACTTTAGTGCTTAGAGCCTTCTCAGAGAATTAAAACTAATAATTTAACACTTATTTATTCCGTCACAGAGAATTATAATAGGATAAAGAATGTGATCCTTTCAAACAAGAAAACATTACATTAGGCCAGCCCGACCAACATGGTGAAACTCTGTCTCTACTAAAAGTACAAAAATTAGCTGGGTGTGGTGGCGTGTGCCTTTGGTCCCAGCTGCTCAGGAGGCTGGGGTGGGAGGATCACTTGAATTTAGGAGGCGAAGGTTGCAGTGATACAAGATCACGCCACTATACTCCAGCCTGGGCAACACAGCAAGACCCTATTTCAAAAAAAGAAAAGAAAACATTACATTAAGATAAAATTTTATGGAGAAATGAATGGAAATATCAGTTCCAAGAAAACAGGTATGCAAATTTTCCAAATTCCTCTAAAGAGCTTGTTTATGTAATTTTAAAGCAAATGATGGTAGATGTCAGGTAAGTATTTCAATTTCATTAGACACATTTAAAAAAATGATATAGTAATTTTATTTTGATTTTTATATTTCAGTACACCCCCAATGGTATCATCTGCAACCTACAATTTAAAAAATTTCATGCCAATGTAAAAACGTGTGACGGTCCTGGATTCTACAAGGTTTTTATTTAATTCTTTTCTAGATCAACCTAGAACAAAGATGTTTGAAGATTACTGTCTTGGGATAAAGTGTTGCCTTAGTCGTGTGCTAAGTTATATTCTTACATCCTGAAAGAGGTAAGTATCCCTCAAAACACCCATTTTCCCCAAAAGGAGAGATTCTGGCACAGCCTAGTACTGGTTGTATATTATAGTAATTACGGTAATCTTGTGTCGTGTTTCCTTATATCACAGTAGTTACAGTCATCTTACACAGTATTTTGTGCGGCAACAATGTGCATCTGTAGTATCCTCCTTGGGTACTTCATGCCTTTGGAGCAATTCCTGCAGGACTCAACTTTTCCACAGAAAATTCACCATGAGACTTAACAAGTCTAAACCTCATACCACAAGAAAGTAGCCCAAGGCAGGGGCTCTGAGCCCGCCAGGCCTGGCTTTCAATTCTGCCTCTGCCTCTTAACAGGCTGTCTGAGCTTTGGGCAAGTCAATGCCTCTCTCTAAGCCTCAGTTACTTTATCTGTAAAAGTGACAGTAATAAAAGCACCTCTTTCATGGCTTGAGAAGGCTAAAGAGATAATATATGCAAAACCATTAGCCTGGCCCAAAATAAGTGCTCAGTAAATTGTGGTTGTTATAATCCAATGGCAAGAGACCAGAAAGGGCCTGCATTGCAAAAACACAGACCGGCAGTTACTGTTATCATCATTATTACTGTTCTTATTTTGAGACGGAGTCTCACTCTGTCACCCAGGCTGGAGTGCAGTGGTGCGATCTCGGCTCACTGCAACCTCCACCTCCCGGGTTCGAGCAATTCTCCTGCCTCAGCCTCCCAAGTAGCTGGGATTATAGGGACACGCCACCACGCCCAGCTAATTTTTGTATTTTTGGTAGAGACAGGGTTTCACCATGTTAGCCAGGCTGGTCTCGAGCTCCTGGCCTCAAGTTATCTGCCCACTTTAGCCTCCCAAAGTGCTGGGATTACAGGCATGAGCCACTACACCCAGCCTGCAGTTACTCTTTAGGAGGTATCGGTGAGAAGGAGGAATATAAGAAAGAAGTATCATGGACTCAGGCCCTGGTGTGTACTAGGTGCTATGTGTATTTTGTTGCCCCACTGCAGAAAAACAGGCATTGTCACCCCATTTTGCAGGCCACAAAATATGGCCATCAAACACCTCACTCAAGATCACACTTCTGGAGCTGACTAAACCACAGAAACACAGGTGTCTGTGCCATGAAGTGCTTCCCACTGAGCTGCATGACCTTATTGCCAATATCAGACTAGGTCATGCTGTGTGGAAGGTACTCAGGCCATTCCAGAACAGTTATCTATAAAAAACAGCATTCTGGGAGGCATCCTGAATTGGCAGTGACTCCATCACTGGCTAGGTCTGTCATCTTGAGCAAGTGATTAACCTCTTTTTGTGCCTTATTTTGCTCAACTAACCGTAGTGCCTAGCTCATAGTTCTGTGAGGATTAAAGAGCATGTGTAAATTATGCATATATTGTATGCAATGCAATAAAGGCCTTTGCACAGTAAGTGCTCCATTAAGTATTAGCTTTTGTGATTATCCTTATTATCCTCTTGTCCAGCCTGGCCATTCCTCTCTCTCTCTTTTTCTTTCTTTTTTTTTTTTTTAATTTTGAGATGGAGTCTCATTCTGTCACCCAGGCTGGAGTGCAATGACACGATCTCAGCTCACTGCAACCTCCACCTCTGGGGTTCAAGCAATGCTCCTGTCTCAGCCTTCCAAGTAGCTGGGATTACAGGTGCCACCATGCCCGGTTAATTTTTGTATTTTTAGTAGAGACAGGGTTTCACCATATTGGTCAGAATGGTCTCAAACTCCTGACGTCAGGTGATCCACCCGCTTTGACCTCCCAAAGTGTTAGGATTATAGGTGTGAGCCACTGCACCTGGCCCATTCCTCTCTCTTTTAAGAGGTTGCTGCTTATCTGTTCCTGACAAAAAGTAAGAGTCTGCAGCCTCCTCCTTCAAGCTTTAATTCCAAGGAGCAATAGCTCCAATTTATTGAACACCTACTATATGCCAGGCACTGTGTTGTTTCCAGTCCTCAAATCATCCTAGGGGTGTGGAGATTGGCATGTCCTGTTTGCAGTCAAGAAAACAGGCTTATAAAGTTTAAGTGATATGCACAGGTGGGTTTCAAGCTCCTAGCGATGGAACAGGATGTCTGGGACACCCTCCAGGTGAAGTAGAGTTGGCTATAAACCTGCTAAGATACGTGAGGTGGGGAGAGGACAGTGCTTCCATCAGGGCTTAATTCTTTTCTGCTGAGCCTTCGGCAGTGAAAGAAGGAAGATAGCCCACAGGACACCCCAGGGGAGCAGAACTGTATGCAACAGGAGGGAGCTGCTGGGCTGCCTACCGAGGTCAGCAGTGCCACCTGCCAGCTTGGGAGCCTCCACTCGCAATGCAGCTGTGGCGCCAGGATGCTGAGGATCATCATCTCCATGGCATCAGCCATCTGCAGAGAGGACGGAGACACCATGAGGCCAGGATGCTGCTTGGTGCTGGGGAAGGCTGGCCAAGTCCACAACCCCAGAGGCAGAGACAGAGCATATCCCTCTCTACCCACTGCCAAGTGCCCTGCCGCACATCAAACCACACTTAAAGCTCCAGCAGTTAAAACTGCATCACCATTGCAGGAACGGACGGATAGACATTTTTATTATTTTTGTGGGTGTTTTTTGTGTTTTAAAAAATATGAGCATGCCACAAACAAAGTGGGAACACATATTCCTAAAATCTGAGGAAAAAAACATTTTTATAAAGGCAGAGAGACAATGATATTTTTAGTGCAATTAAATACTAGCTTGTCTTTGGCTTATAGGTCATTTGTTCTTGTAGAATAGACTATAATTGTCAGTATAGTTAACAAGTGCGACCTTTTAATACATTAAAGCAAAATCGGAAGCCCCAGCAATTAAACATCTTGCTCCTTTACGAGACTAGACAGACTAGGACGGACGTGGCACCTAGAAGCACAGCCCATGTGGTCATGGGAATTTTGCATATGATAAAGGCAGCTTTTCCAATTAGTGGAAGAAATGTGGGGAAATTGATGATCCATTTGGAATAATATGAAGTTAGATTGCCATCTCCTGCCGTTCACAAAAGTTAATTTCAAGTATATTAAAGGTTTGGCTGCGCTGTTTCCATAGATAGGGGATTTGAATGAGGGATGGTGAGAGTCTTGAAGCAGAAGGCACATTTTTAACCTGTGCATGTTTTTCTAGGGAGAGCTCCACAGCTGACATCATAATCTCATAGTAGCCCTGAGCCCAAAGAGTTAAAAGCCACTTAGCTAGAAACTTCGGTTCCTCCTTGAGGGAAACGGCCAACCACATCCAGCTGTCTTCAAGCACACACCTCGTTATCACCACTTCTCACTCCACACAAATTTTGTTGATTGGAATTCAGTCAAAGTCTCCATGTGCAAAGAACCGTGTCCTTCCTTACAGGCCATGGGAACCCAGTGGAAACAGCATGGGGGTTTCATGGAGACTGAGCCACTGCCCCCCAGAAATACTTGCCCAAGCCAAGCCGGTGAGAACAGACAGCTTCCACTGAAATTTTCCAAAGCCAATGGCTTCCACCGCATCTTCCACCATGAAAGTATCTGGGAAGGAGAAAGGGAGAGGGGAGGAAGGATCAGTGTGCCTTCCAGCTGTCCTCGAGTGGGGCTGCCTGGGGTGGTCCCCAGCCAAGCAAATTAAAGGCACTACATGCTGCTTTCAGAGCTTATCCTAGAAAAGTATTCCAGTGTGAAGCGATATTCTACAACTGCAGCATGGCTTACAGCGGGAGAAACTGAAAAACCCAGAACGTCCATCAACAGGGGATTGGTTAAATAAATTTATTAAGCAGATATTATACATATATAAATTATTAAAGATCTACATTATAAAATATGACCCAAATGTTAATAAGAATGTGCAGATATAGAAAGATACACAAAATATATTGTTAATTGACATTTAAAAACAAAACAAGATTGACAACAAAGTATTGAGCATGGTTCTATTCTTGGAAACGTATGCATGTGGGCGTAAATATATGCACATGTATCTATGCATAGAATATATACAAGGCTTTGAATTATGGTTTAATTTGTTTGTTGTCAGAGGGGGAAAGGAAAAAATTATATGAGAATTCACTTTCTTCCCTTTACAATTTATTATTTCCATGGCCAGAAAAAAATACTTTTTTGGTTTGTTTTGCTTTTTTTGAGACAGGGTCTTGCTCTGCTGCCCAGGCTGGAGTGCGGTGGTACAATCAGAGCTCACTGCAGCCTTGATCTCCTGCGCCCAAGTCATCCTCATGCCTCAGCCTCTTGAGTAGCTGGGACTACAGGCACATGCCACCATGCCCAGCTAATTTTTTTCTATTTTTTGTAGAGATAAGGACTCACTATGTTGCCCAGGGTGGTCTTTAACTCTTGAGCTCAAGCTATCTTCCCGCCTCGGCCTTCCAAAGTGTTAGGATTACTGATGTGAGCCGCCATGCCTGGCCTGAAATACTTTTGAAAGGCACAATTCCATCAGCACTCAGATGGAAAGATGTGCACGCTATATTGTTAAGTGAAAAGCAAAAGTTGTGTAGAGGTACGTACTGGTGGAGCTGTCTTTGTGATAAAATGTGTATATGTGTGTGTGAGTGCACCAAGCAGGGGTGGACATCTTACAAACTGTTACCAGACTCATCTTTGAAAACGATACTCACTTTTCATCTTTGAAAACGATACTCACTTTCCTACTTTGGGTATTTCTTTAATGTCTGAATGCTTTCCAAATAAACGGGTTTTATTTTCATGCTCAGAAAAAACATAGGTATCATTTATAAGCTAGTAAGTTTTTGAAACATACTAAAAGGTGGCCAGATGCTGTGGCTCATGCCTGTAATCCCGGCAGATTGGGAGGCTGAGGCAGGAGGATCACTTGAGCCTTGGAGTTCGAGAGCAGCCTGGGCAGCATAATGAGACTAAAAATTTTTTTTTAAAAATAGCAGTGAGTGGTGGCTCCCACCTATGGTCCTAGCTACCTGGGAGGCTGAGGCAAGAGAACGGCCTAAGCCAGGGAGGTTTCAAGGCTGCAGTGAGCTGTTATCACACCACTGCACTCCAGCCTGGGTGACAGAACAAGATTCTGTTAAAAAAAAAAATTCAAAAAACAAAACTAAACTAAACTGAAACACTAAACCCAATGTGCTGTGCTGGATTATATCTGGAAGCAGCACAGCTGCAATGACTGGTGAAATCCACATAAAGTCTGGGGTTGAGCTAACAGTAGCACACCAACGTTAATCTTTTTAGTTTTAACAATTGTTTTTTAGTTGTTAACATTATGGGAGGCTGGGTGAAGGGTATGTGAGAACTGTCTGTACTATATTTGAAATTTTTTTTTGCAAAGCCATAATAATTTAAAAATGAATAGTTAATTAAAAATACAGCTGGGTACAGAAGCTCACACCTGAAATCCCAGCACTTTGGGAGGCTGAGGCAAGTGGATCACCTGAGGTCAGGAATTTGAGACCATCCTGGCCAACAGGGCGAAACCCTGTCTCTACTAGGAGTTTCCATCCTCACTCAGATGGAATGATGTGTTTTGTATTTCTACTAGAAATACAAAAATTAGCCAGGTGTGGTGGCACATGCCCATAGTCCCAGCCACTCAGGAGGCTGAGATAGGAGAATCGCTTGAACCTGGGAGGCAGAGGTTGCAGTGAGCCAAGACTGCACCACTGCACTCTAGCCTGGGTGACAGAGTGAGTCTCCATGTGAAAAAAATAAAAATACTAAAGGAGGATGCTGGGTTGCCCCATGAGCGACCTCCGAGGATCTCATCAGCCCCTGCTGGGAGTTGTCATCTTTTTGGAATTTCAACGATGGGCCTTGTAGGTCAATCATAATTTTCTCTAGATGTGTGAGTTGGTGTTGATCACATTAGCAGGTTGTGGTTTTCTCCAGCAAAAAACAAAAAAAATCATCCATAGGAAGAACAGTAGTAACACTATTGTGGGGCACTTACTGAGTGCTTACTATCTGCCAGGCACTGTGCCAAAAGCTAGATGTGCATTATTTCATGTAATACCCATCACAACCCTATGAGTTAAGGCCTAGTATTAGCCCCATTTTACAGAGGAGGACATGAGCTTGCCCTGTGTCACACAGGTGGCACGTTGTAGAGTTGGGAGTCGAGCCCAGATCAGCCTGAGAGTAAAGCCTCAGCTTGCCTCTGTCCCCCATCATTGCCACCTTATCTTTGCCAACAACAGGCCTGGGGTTCAAATCATTAGACATTTCTTAGATTTGGAATCTGAGTCTTTACAGGAATTCATAGAATGTTTTTATCCAACAGCATTAAGAAGTGAGGGAAGTTGGAGAACAGGTCCCACAGCACTGCCTCAGAGGTAGCACAAGGTCATGGGTAAGAATGTGGGCTCTGAGGCCAGATTTCCTGGGTGTAAATCCAAATTGGCTAATTCCTAGCTGTATAACCTTCAGCAAGATACTTTAACCCTTCTGTGCTTCAGTTTCCTCACCTGCAAAATGGGGAGGATGTTGGTAATAGATCCAATTGGAACTGTTGTGAGGATTAAATGGATAAAACATGTAAACTGGTTAGAGCGGTGCCTGGCACAGAGTAAATCCTCAGCCAATGTTAGCTGCTCGCATACCATCATCAGTGTCACCATTACCATCACACTATCATCATAACCAACATCATCACCACCATTGTCATTACACTGTCATCCCAACCATCATCACTATCACCGTCATCATTACCACAATCATCATCACCACCACTATCATCACCACAACCATATCATCATCACCACCGTCATCATCATCATCACCATCATCATCATCTTCAGCAACACAACTACCATCATCATCATCTTCATCATCAACACCATCATCACTACCATCACCACCACCATCATCTTCATCATCACCATCATCTTCATCATCACCATCATCGCCACCACTATCATCACTATCATCATGTTCATCATCACCACCATCATCTTCATCATTTTCATCAATACCATCACCACCACCATCATCATCATCATCACCACCACCACCACCACCATCATCATCGCCACCACCATCATCTTCATCATCACCATTATCATCATCTTCAGCAACAAAACCACCATCATCATTATCTTCATCATCAACACCATCATCACTACCATCACCACCACCGTCATCAACATCATCGCCATCATCACTACCATCATCACAACCATCACTACCACGATCATCTTCATCATCACCACTATCATCATCTTCATCACCATCATCACTACCATCATCATCACCATCACCATCTTCATCATCACCACCACCATCTTCATCATCACCACCACCATCATCTTCATCATCATCACCACTATCATCATCATCACCATCACCATCTTCATCAACACTATCATCATCACCACCATCATTATCTTCATCATCACCACCAGCATCACTACCATCATCTCATCATTACCATTGTCATCATCACTATCATCATCATCACCATTGCCATTCTTATCATCACCATCTTCATAGCTATGATCATCACCATCATCATCACTATCACCCTCATCATCATCATCATCATCACCATCATCATCACCACCACGATCATCACTATCATCTCATCATCACCATCTTTATTATCATCATCACCTTTGCTATCCTTATCACCATCTTCATCACTGTGATCATCACCATCATCATCACTATCACCATCATCATCAGTACCATCATCACCACCACCACCATCATCACTATCATCTCATCATCACCATCTTCATCAGCACTATCATCATCATCACCATTGCCATCCTTATCATCACCATCTTCATCACTGTGATCATCACCATCGTCATCATTACTATCATGATCACCACCACCATCATCATCTCCATCATCATCTTTGTCATCATCATTGTCATTGTTAGTGCCATTCTCAGCCAAGTGTTATGCAGCGGTGCTGACTGGCAGGGATTATGATGTAACCTTGCCTGCTGAAGTAAGCCATGGAGGCTCAGCCCCCACTTCCAGCTCCACCCCTTGGCCCTCTGGGCCCTCCCAACTGCCCCTTCACAAGACCCCTCGGGGCCCTCCCAACTGCCCCTTCACAAGACCCCTCTGAAACTGCCTGCTGAGGGGCAACCTTGACTGTGGCCCAGGCTGATTCCCCACTGCAGGGCCCTCTCACCATCGGTGGGATTGGCAAACTCCTTGGGCACAGCTGCCCCATCATCCAGCTCCACAGCCTCTAGGCCCACGCGGACCCCTTCAATCTGGACTTCATGCTCTCCTGAAGCCGTGTCGTCCTCTGACCTTGCACTCTCGCCTGTACGACGGAATTTCACAACCCTAGAGAACAGAGCAAATCTGGTCAAGATGGCTAAAGCTTCCCCTAGATGGCCTTGCTGGACAGCTGTAGTGCCCAAGACAGGTGAAAGACTTCTCATGGTTTGGAGAGTTGATGGATGAGGGTTCGCATTTCTATTGAGTTGGACTGGGTTGGGAAGACTAATAACTTCAAGAGTTACAGTATCAGGACTGCCATGTGCAGTTGGGCAGATTGGGCACTGCACAATTCCTGGGTTTCCTATTCACATAGTAGGTTATGTGATTGAGGATATCTTTGTATTAAGTCAGAATACTGTTTGTGAGTACATTTGTTTCAGAATTTAGACTCATCTGTCTATATCTAACATTTTGGTCATCTAAAGGTCACATTAGGCCCACAAAAGTTTCTCATACCATATTTTAAAAAGGTTAAAGTGGATACCATTTTTAAAAATAGAGACAGGCTCTCACTATGTTGCCCAGGCTGGTCTCAGACTCCTGGGCTCAAGTGATCCTCCCTCAGCCTTTTAAAGTGCTGGAATTACAGGTGTGAGCCATCATGCCTGGTGCCAAAATGTTTAAATTGGAAAAATTCACATAAAAAGCCAGAGTCCCAATGTCTCTTGCAAAAGTAGAATACCTAGCTATCTGGAGCCCACATTCCTGCACTGGAATTGTGCTAGGTCTGGGCAGTGGTGGCCCCGGCCCCCCACCAACCCCCGTTTTAGACGGGTCATGCCCTCCACAGCTGGCCACTGTCTCCTCTTCTCTGGATTATCTCCAGCCCTAAGGGTCTTTTGCCCTTATCCTTGCACATACTCTGTGTTCCTCTCACTTGGCATGTGGTCCTGTTTGCCAGGCCCCGCAGGCATTTGAGTTTGAGACCCCATGGGCCCCACTCTTATGCAGTATGTTCCTGCAAACTATGCTGTTTCTTGCTGCTCTGGAAGAAGCTTTGATTTCTCTGGGCAACAGTTTCTTCATCTGGGACTCGGGGACAAAATTACCTGTCTCCTTCCAACTTTCTCACTCCCAAACTCGTGCTGTCTGCCAGCCTTGGGGTGGGTTTTGGGGCTATAGCACTGAAATTGCCTGCTGGGGAAGCAACCTTGACCGTGGCCCAGGCTGATTCTCCAACTGCATGGCCCTGTCACCATCAATGGGGTTGGCAAACTCCTTGGGCACATCTGCCCCATCATCCAGCTCCACCGCCTCTAGGACCACCCGGGCCCCTTCAGTTTGGACTTCTTGCTCTCCTGAAGACGTGTCTCACCTTGCACATGTGCTCTGACCTCACAGTCTCTCAAGGGGATAGTGATACCGATGTGCAAGTCCTTTCTATCATGGCTTTGAGTCCTTATAGACTTTTTGAAGCAAGTCTGGGGTGCTGGGTGTGGTGGCTCGTGCCTATAATCCCAGCATTTTGGGAGGCCAAGGTGGGAGGATTGCTTGAGCACAGGAATTCAAGACCAGTCAGGGCAACATAGTGAGATACTGTCTCTTTGAAAAATAAAAATAAAAAAATTAGCTGGGCATGGTGGTGGATGCCTGTGGTCCCAACTACTTGGGAGGCTGAGGTGGGAGGATCGCTTGAGCACAGAAGGTTGAGGCTGCAGTGAGCCATGATCCTGCTACTATACTCCGGCCTGGGCAACAGAGAGAGACCCTATCAGAAAAATAAAAAGAAAGAAACAAAGAAAAAATAGAAGGAAGAAAGAAAAAAAGAGGGAAGGAAGGAAGGAATGCAGGTAGGCAGGCAGGAAGGAAAGAAGGAAGTAGAGGGAGGGAGGGAGGAAAAAGAAAAAGAAAAAAGTCTGGCTGGGCATGGTCACTCACGCCTGTAATCCCCATACTTTGGGAGGCTGAAGCGAAAGGATCACTTGAGTCCAGGAGTTCAAGACAAACCTGAGTGATGTGGCGAAACCCCATCTCTACAAAAAATGTAAAAATTAGCCAGGCATGGTGGCATGTGCCTGTGGTCCCGGCTACTTGGGAGGCTGAGGTGGGAGGATTGCTTGAGCCGGGAGGTGGAGGTTGCAGTGAGCCAAGATTACACCACTGCACTCCAGCCTGGGTGACAGAGCAAGATCCTGGGTTATTTTGTTTCTTTGTTAAAGAAAAAGAAAGAAAGAGAAAAAAGTCTGGAGTTACATGGGCATGAATAGCAGAGGTAGTATTTGAGCAGATAGACTGTACATTTGATCCATGTTTGTAAAAGGTTAACAACAAAAGAGATATTTAAGTACAAAATACTGCTATTATTATTAACGACTGCATCATGCCATGTATTTCACCAAAGAAATAACTGTGGCACTGGCATAGAAAGGGTAAATCTCTGGATTTCAGAAGCGCAGGGAACATACCCTGCTTGTCAAGTTCTAGAAGAGGAAAGACAGATTAAATCACAGCCATTTTGTAAACACCTGAAATTCCATTTCTTGGCAAGGCTGGGCTGGGAAAACCTGAGCTGTCAAGCTCATCTTGGCTGGAAATGCAGGCCCCAGCACAGGGTTGGCAGACAGACGGGCGGGGTTTGAAGCTCAGTGCTAACATTTCACCCCATCTACCACGGTCACGCTCTAATAGCATCAAGTCTGTGCTCTGTGCAAGTTCCCGCTGTTTTCTGTGCACTCGATCCACACAGCACCTCTGAAGTTGGTATTATTAATACCATTTTACAGACAAGAACACTGAGACCCCAGAAGTCACATGGCTTACCCACAGCCCCATAGCTGAACAGGCACGGAGCCAGGTTTGAACCCCAGGTCTATCTGGCTTAAAATCTTGTATTTCTGGCCAATGAGAGGGCACCATCTCTTCGAACTCTTCCATTGCTTCCCATTCACTCTATTTTTTTTCATGAAGATACTTTATTTTGAGACATTTCGAGCATATAAAATCACACACATAACAATGAGACAAATGTCTTTCTTTCTGCTGTCAAACTAAAGGATTAAACACGGCTATTAGGTCGAACCATGTGAAATCGCCGACATTCGTCCCCAAATCAGTTGAAGCCACCATGTCTCCATCGCCACATGTCACCACATATTCACAGGTGTTTCACATTTTAAAATGTCACAAAGTTCACGTAGATATGAATCCACTTACATGAAGTGTCAAGAATTCATAGAAACAGAAAACATGAGTGGCTGCCAGGGAATGGGGATTCATAGCTTAATGGGTGTGGGGTCTCCTTTTGGGGTGATGAAAATGCTCTGGGACTAGAGAGAGGTGAGGGTTGTGCAGCCTTGTAAAATTGCACACTTTCATTGATGGCTAAAATGAAAATATATAAAATAAATAAATATAAAATAAATAAAAATATAAAATATTTTTATATTTTTATATAAAATATAAAATAAATAAAATGGTTAAAAAATATAAAATATATATTTATTTTATAAAAATATAAAATAAATAAAATGGTTAAAATAGAGCCAGCATGGTGGTGGGGGTGGGGTGGTGCGCATGTCTGTAATCCTAGCTAGGGGGATAAGCTAAAGCAAGAGAACTGCTTGAGGCCAGGACTTCAAGATCAGCTTGGGTAACATAGCGAGACCCCATCTTTTATTTTTTGATACGGAGTCTCACTGCATCACCCAGGCTCACCACAACCTCCACCTCCCGGGTTCAAGAGATTCTCCTGCCTCAGCCTCTGGAGTAGCTGGGATTACAGGCAGGCACCACCACGTCCGGCTAATTTTTATACTTTCAGTAGAGACAGGGTTCACCATGTTGGCCAGGCTGGTCTTGAACTCCTGACCTCAGGCGATCCACTTGCCTCGGCTTCCCAAAGTGTGAGGATTACAGGTGTGAGCCACAGTACCCGGCCACAAGACCCCATCTCTAAGGGGGGGAGGTTAAAATGGTAAAGTTTACGTTATGTGTATTCTTCCATCTTAAAAAATAAAACACGAAAATCCTTAACTCTTAGCACTGCCACGGATGTTACTGGAATCCCTTATTCAACAGATATTGAATGAGCACCTGCTTTGTGTCAGGCCCAAAGGTGCTGCTGGGATCACAAAGGTCACCAGACTTCAAAGCCTTTCTGCAGTGCTCGTAGTCTACCAGGAGGTGATAAGAATTTTAAAAAGAAAAATAACGAGTATATATGGACATCACTATATAGATGGTTGGCACATTGTAAGACATGCTGCAAATGGCACTGTTTACAATAGCAAAGACCTGGAACCAACCCAAATGCCCAGCGATGATAGACTGGACAGGGAAAATGTGGCACATATACACCACAGAATACTATGCAGCCATAAAAAACGATGACTTTGTGTCCTTTGTAGAGACATGGATGAATCTGGAAACCATCATTCTCAGCAAACTGACACAAGAACAGAAAACCAAACACCGCATGGTTCTCACTTATAAGCGGGTATTGAACAGTGAGAACACACGGACACAGGGAGGGGAGCATCACACACTGGGGTCTGTTGTGGGGGACAGGGGAGGGACAACGGGGAGTAGGGAAGCTGGGGACGGATAACATGGGGAGAAATGCCAGATATAGGTGATGGGGATGGAGGCAGCAAACCACATTGCCATGTATGTACCTATGCAACAATCCTGCATGTTCTTCACATGTACCCCACAACCTAAAGTGCAATAAAATATATATTTTTAAAAAAAGACATGCTGCAAATAAAGTAAACTGGGTGCTGGGAAAGGCTTATGGTGGGGGTGACATTTCACATCTGGAACCCACTAAGTGAGCTGTGGTGTGAAATCGGCTACTGAGAGAAAACTACAAATGAGTAGAACCCACAGCCCCCAAAGCAGCAACCCCAAAATTTAAAACATAAACAGTCCCCTAAGGTATTCACAGAAGATGGACACATAGCAAATTCTCCGAGGAAAGAAGAACATGAACGTTTATGTGCATTGTCAATTAATCTTTAGGGATGAAGTCAAAGTCAATGGATCAGCACCCTTGACTCTGAGGATATCACAGAAAGAAATCGCTGTGTGGCCTGATCATCGTCCTTGAATACTCCTTTTATCAC